CTATGTGTTATTTCGAACCGGGATTCGTGGGCCCGTGAGGCTCGGACACTCGGGCTCGTAACGACGCGCTTGTATGAGTTGTATGAGTTGTATTCGTTTGATTTTAAGAAGAAGCATGTTTAGCAGACAAGAATGAAAGTTGACCTCTATGTTGTTATTTGGCTTTGAATTCAAGTTTGTGAAGGGAAGTCCTAGCATTTGATTATAAGAATGTTTGAGTAATTGTGCTATTTGTTTTGTTTAGCTCTTGAATAGAAGATTTGTTGAGTTGATTGAAATTACATGCATAAGGCAGTGCATTTCCAAGTTTTACACTAAAAGAGCATTTTAGCATATTCAAAGCTTAAGTACAGTAAAAGGCTCAAAGTGAGGCCTAAGTTATTTTCAAAACCTTATATCTCTTTTGGAAAATCTATATCTATATGTGCATTGAGAAGCTTGCATGATGAATAGATTTCTAATATGAGAAAGATAAGTTATATGAGATATCTGTGCAGTGCATTGAGAAACTTGCATGATATCTAGATCACTAGCATGAAAAAGAAGTTGCATGTGTTATATATGCTATTTATATTAAGCGAGGAAAACCTATGTTTTGGAGGTTCCAGTTAGGACTATGTCCTTTCGGAAGAAAAGAGAAAGAAAGAAGTTATGAGAAAGAGAAAGAAGCGATCACAGAGGACCTACAGTTTATTTCTAGAAGTAACTTGGAAGATCAATCCCGAGTTGCTAGGTTAGATACTACCCACTGGGCTTGGAATCCTAGTTAGGGGGTGTGCACACTGAAAGTACGATACCTGATTTCACAGAGTTATAAGAACTACGAGTACCGATTCTGTGGGCAAGATGAGTATTAGGCCGGCTAGATTGCCGAGCCCGAATAGGTCCATTCACGATTTGTGAAGTTCCTACCTCCCCCATGAGTTTCAAAAAGAAAGAAAGAAAGAAGAGAAAAGCGAGTCAAGTGACTCAACAGAGATCCTCCACAGAAAAGTACTTCTTTTAAATAAGAGCGACAGTAAAAGTATATATTTATAGCATCTTTTCCTTGTTCATATCATGACATAGCATTTGTCTCATTTTGAGTATTTGAGATGTACAGTTTTAATCGTTGTTTAAGTGTTAGCATGAAAGCATGACTTTACCTGATAAGCTTCAGTTATTATATTTCATTATATATCAACATGACTCTGAGAAGCGCATAGTAGAATATAGATGGTATATATCTGTTTACAACATGTGAATGTGCGCAAGTATGAGTTATGAGTTAAAGCCTGTTTATATGAGATTATAGGTTGATGAGCATATAGAAGTATATAAGTATATCCATTGAGATCTGTGACTAAGTGTCTTGATTTCTTATCTTCATACTTGAGATTCGTGTATGATTGCAAAACGTTTTCCAACCTATATCTATAGTACTTTACAGGGTTGAGTGGCTTTATACTTAGCATTATTTGCTAACGGGTTTATTTTCTCCTATGTGCTTTTATAACCCCTTTCAGGTGGACCTAGTACTTGAGAGCGCACGTGATAGAGTAGTGCGTAGTACTAGCTTGGTAGTCATTAGCTCAGTACCCTTCTCCTTTAGTAGTTTTTGTTGTGGGTTGTAGTTGGACCACTTGTTTTGTTGGTGCGTAGACAACGGGGTTTGTTCCCATTGTTTTTATGGTTGTATTGAGCTTTGACTCTAGTTCAGTAGTTTTTGTTAGCCTGTGCAGTTACCGTGAGTGAGTGACTGTGGCGGTGATTTTCCCCTTTAGTTTTTTGCTATGGATTATTATCTTAGTTTACTTAATCTACCTTTGATTTATCCTGTTTAAGATTGTTTATTTCGGGTTTTAGATTTTAGAAAAAGGGGGTGTCACAGATACCTTCTTGCCCAACCGCTCCAAGATAGGCATGGAAGCAATCAACCGATGTCCAACAGAGCCGTCTCCTTGAACTCCTTCCCCCTCGACCCCTCACATCTATTCCCATGGAGCAAGGTTGAGTTTCAGGGCGGCCTCCCATTACGTGGGTTGCACCTTGTTGTTAGGTTTTCTTTTCCCACGAGGACTCCACCTCAACTTCATGCATGCGTTGGTGGCAGGGCCATTTAACCTTGCATCCCAGCCACCAATTGAGCCAACGCTATAGTGGCGTGCTGAATGGCCCGGCCAGTTTCCTGGAGGTCCATAGACGGGACCGGTGCCTCAGGGCCTCCACCGTAATTGTTGTTGAGTTGATCCCAGAGGTCCCGTGAGTTCGTAGGCCAGGCATCCATGCTAACGTTGCTATTGTGGTTCAGGTTGCGAGATTCATGGGAGTTGCTTGGATCCTGCCATCTTCTTCTTTGTGTGATATAAAATTTAAAGTTGTTTAGATTCTTGAGTTTGACTTTTAATGAAAGCACCACTGACGGTAAATAAAGTTACCGGAATATATTCAAAAAGTAGTTTTGGTACTGCAATGAGTTCTATGTATAAGAATTTGAGCATGTCCCCCTTGCTACGTGGGTCAAGTTTTATAATGCTAACGGTTAAAAAGCTACCTAATAATAACTACAACGTCTCTTCATAATAAGTGTCCCTGCTACATAGTAATTGAGGTGCTCTCTTCCATAAGTGCATTGGCCCTCCATAACTCCTGCTATTTGACGAGGTGATGCTCTTAATAAATGCATAGGCTCTGCTTTAAGCGTATTGTTCCACCTCCTTTGACTCTGACCGTTGACCGCGGTTAAACTAATAGCGTTAGGTCAAGTTCCGTGTCTTATTCAATTATCCTGTGAAGCATTTTTTTACTTTCTTGGTTCATTAAAATTATATCGTTAACGATTTTCAAAAAAAAATTATATCGTTAACGAGTGGACTAATGTTTTGCTTTTTACCTGCTCTCAATTCTTGATAAGAAAGTGGACTTTTTGCTTTTGTCTGCTCAGAAATGTGCTTAAAGGATGGATTGCTTTTGCTTTTGGGACGACAGACTTACATTCAGCTTTTAGGATCACATATTCTCTATTTATAATTGGATTTGTCATATAGTGGGTTCAACTACTCATTTGTACCATCTTCGCGTGAGTATTAGTAAACTTATTTTGAATTAGTTACATGTGAAGGGTGTAACCAATGCTATAAAAACAGTGCTTTATTTGTCATCAAAGTACGTGTATAATATGTTCTTAAATTTAATTTCAAGAGAAAAGGGGAAAAGATACAATTCCTTGCCAAATCTTTGTTCATCATCTGTAATAGGGCTTTATTTTATTTATTTATTTAATTATAATTAAAGTAGAATTATTAAGGGCAAATTATTCCGTGGACTCGCGTCCATCTTGCAAGGTGGATCTGAGTCCATTCACAATTTACATATTAAATGTTTATAATTTATCTTTTAAAAATTTACAATTTCTATATAGTGTTAACATATATGTACTTTGATTATCTTGTTTTGTATTTACATTTTTCTTTCAAATATTGCAGTCACACAATATTAACAATATTAGAACTTGATGACCATATATTGTATTCATAAATTCCCTTCTACAACTGTTATGTGTTAAGGAATTTGGGAATACAATATATGGTCATCAAATCCTAATTTGTTAATATTGTGTGACTGTAATATTTGAAAAAACTTGTGAATACAAAACAAGATAATCAATTACATATATATTAACATTGTGTGTCCATACTTCGTAATATACAAATTGTAAATTTTTAAAAGATAAATTGTGAACATTTAGACCTGAGTCCACATAATAATTTGTGATATATAGAATACATTTATTAGGGTCCACGTAATAGAATAATTTTTTTTTGAAATTATTCCCGAAAATTCAACCCACGGTTTAATAAACTAAATCAATAAATTGGTTCGTCTTCGCTACACGCAATAAAAACATGCATCTATGACATACAATTTTAACTCATTAAAAATATAAATTGTATTTATATTAGTGTAAAATCATATACTTCTTTTTAATACTTATATACCTTTTTTAATGATGCACAAATGCTATTTAAAAGCCTTTATAGTTTTTTTTTTTTTTTTTTTTTTTTAAAGTACACTTTGAAAATTAATTTCTCATTCATTCATGATTCATTCTGAGTATATAATATATTAAATTAAACATCTTACTAAGAAGAACTTAAGTATACTTTGACCCGATTCAAATTAGAATTGAAATTGATCCGCTTAAAATTATACCTATTAGCTAAATTTTTAACATTTACTCACACTAACAAAGACTCGTTGATAGATGGTTAATGATGGAAAGTTCCCCTCCTTTGGCGTTGACATCATTTCTACGAATATAGAAACAAGCATATGTTAAATAATTAAAATTCAACTTACATCGAGACAGAAACATATGTCAATGGTCATTTTTAATTTCATATATGGCCCGCATGCTGGCTAATTAATTAATTAAGGTGTATTACTTTTGACATAGTGGTGCATATTAGATGATACAAATAAACAATCTGCCAGGCTGTTATGTAATAAGGGCATTCTTGTCCTTTCTTCCTTTGACAGTTATAACCGCTAGCCAGCTTGCTTTTATACGTTCTCTGTTGTATCTTCTGTTTTAGAGTTTTTACACAAAATAATCAGAATAATAAAACCTTTCCCTCTTTCTTCTCTCTTCGATGTAATCCGTCATGGTATCAGAGCGAAGGCATTCTTATGCCGCCGTCGTCACCGGCGCCGGCAGCACCAGTCAGGGAGGACAGACAGCTACGCCTCTCGTCTAATCGCCGATTCAAACCACTCCTGAGGTGATTCCGCAGAGGAGTCCATCGTCTCGAGCTCGGAGAAACTTCAATATGGAGGATCTGGAGAATCCTCTATTTCTCAGTGCAAATGACAGTCCGTCTCTAGTCCTTGTGAGTCCACCTCTGACAGGCAGCTCGAATTACGGCACATGGAGCGTATCGATGAGGATAGCGCTCGAAGTTAAAAATAAATGGACCTTGGTGGATGGAAGCACCACACCGCCGAACAGGGAGCAAGCTCAATACGCCGCATGGAGGCGGTGCAATCTCATGGTCTGTGCTTGGATCTTCAAGTCTGTCCACTCATCCATAGCACAGAGCATTATGCACCTCGACAGAGCTGATGACGTCTGGGGGGATCTGAGAAGAAGGTTCTCACAAAGGGACGCGCAACGCATATCAATTTTGCAAAGTGAGATCCATAATCTACGGCAAGGTTCACTCTCTGTCAACGAGTACTACACGAAATGCAGAACTCTATGGGAAGAGATGAACACCTTGAGGCCGATTCCTCTGTGTAAGTGCACTCCTAGGTGTTCTTGTGATCTGGTTGAAACAATCCGGAAGGAAAAAGAGATTGATCAGGTAATCCTATTTCTGCAAGGCTTGAATGAGGACTATAACAACTTGAAATCAACTGTTATAGTGCTAGATCCTCTACCTGAAGTCTATAAGGTGTTTGTAATGTCTGAAAAATTAGAGAGGCAGATTATGGCATCTCATTTGAATTTAGGAAACCTGGACATAAAACAATCTAATGCAGTTCAAACATGCGAGAATGAAGATACTGTTGCTGCTTTGAATTTCTATAATGGCAGGAAAAATAACAATGTGAAAGCCAAGTGTACCTATTGTGGTATGAACGGGCATACAGTTGATAGATGCTACAAGAAACACGGGTATCCACCGGGTTGGGTGCAAGGTTTTAAATCAAAAGGGAAACAGCAAGGAACAGCCGCATCTGTCAACAATCCTAATGATCTGGGAATATCTCCTGAACAATTGCACAAACTGTTCTCCTCATTCCTTCAGACTCAACCGGGCCAAGCATCAGGATCTTCCAGCTCAAACAACCCTCCTGGATCACATGTCACAGCTGCAACTGCCTTGATCCCAAAATTTGAAAAGTCTTGCAGCCCTGAAGGAGGCAAGTTCTCTGTGTGTTCATCAATTTTAAATTCCTGCACTTGGATTATTGATTCAGGGGCCACAAATCACATTGTGTGCTCCCTTGACTCCTTAATCAATTATCACACAGTTAATAATGTTGAAGTCAATCTTCCTACGGGGCAGTCCATTGCAATTAAAAATATAGGTGATGCCAGGCTGTTCAATGGAAACCTATGGCTGAAAGAAGCATTACATATCCCCTCTTTCAGATTTAATATTATATCTGTAAGCAAGTTAATTCAAGATGATGCTTATAAGCTAACCTTCATGTCAAAGCAGTGCATGATTCAAGGGAGTCATGGTCAGATAGTTGGTTTAGCTAAGGAAGAAAAGGGGCTCTATCTAATGAAGGAGCCACAAGAAGAGCAGAATGGACATTTTGTTTTGCAGTGCAGTAAGTCTGAGGTCTGGCATCGAAGGCTGGGACATTTCCCGATCAACAAGTTACATCTCATTTGTGATATTGATATTACTAAGAACAATAATAACAAGGCTTGTGATGTATGTCATTTGGCTAAGCACAAGCGTTCCCCCTTCCCAATAAGTGTTACTAGTTCACATTCCTGCTTTGAATTAATACATGTTGATATTTGGGGGCCTTTCCCGGTTTGCTCCTTGAAAGGGGAATATTATTTTCTTACTGTGGTTGATGATTATTCGAGATTTACATGGCTTCATTTGATGAAAACCAAAGCTGAAACAAGGTTGCTTGTAAAAAGGTTTCATGCTTATGTTCTTACTCAATTTGGAATCATGATTAAAACCATTCGCAGTGATAATGGTACTGAGTTCAAGATGGATGATTTCTTCCTCGACAATGGTATCATCCATCAGCGCTCTTGTGTTAACACCCTCCGTCAGTGCATGTTTAAGTTAATTTAATTATATATGGACCTATAGAGAGTAAGAGAGATGCAATTAAGGCGCACTCTCAATTAAATGAAAACTTGATATATATTGATGTTCATGAATAGGGATTGCTAAGTAAGTGGAGTATGATTCATATACTAAAAAATTATAATGTAAGTCTTTTTAATGCAATTTACTTATTTTGTATGGTTTGTGAGTTATTATATAGGAGCATGGTTTGTAGCGATATTTACTTAGTGCATACTTTCGAGTAGTCTAGTAGTGATATTGATTAGCTAAATCGTACTCTCAAGCAAATAAATTAAAACTTGATATTGATATATCTCAAAAGAGGTGATCGACTGAGTGGAGCATGATTCTCGTACCTGAAGGTCACACGGTTTTCTTAGTGTGGTTTACCTCTCTTGCATGATTTGTGGACTATTACACATGAGCGTAGTTTATCTGGGTTGTTGGTTTGCAGCGGGATTACTTTGTGCACATCCTCAGATAGTGATATTAATTATCTTTGAGATGTATATAAAGCACACTCTCAATTCGATTAAATTAATTAAAACTTGATATTGATATAATGTAGGTCCTAAAATGGGTGATTGAATTTCATATAAAAAAGTTATGAGTTCAGTTTTTACCAACCCTCTTTTGGTAACATCAGTTACACAGAGTTTTTATAGGGTGGGTTGGGACTAGATTTACCCCGTGTAACAGTGATGCACACTTTTGTGTAGTAATTGTGGATGACTACGAGTCATTCAATCAATACATTGAGTAGCTTCGGATGTATATAATATGCATGGAATTAGTGGTATCAATTTTCAAGGTGGGGTTAAATCCTACCTCACCCCACTGCTATGTTCCCCACTTGTTTACCAGCTTGCATATGATAGAATTATATATATTCATATATAATTGGATTTGTCTCCGTTGAGGTTTATATATATACGTACTCTTCAGTGCCATCCTTTTATAGGTCGGATGGATGTGAATTATTGTGTAACAAGTAGTACAGTCAAGTACTAGCTAGGCAAGTGTGTTTTTTCATTAAGTCTAGGTTTTTGTTTTGTTTTTATTTTAATTTCTTTTCGACTCCTACTACAACTTGAAACAGTTCTGTTATATATATGCATATTTATAAATGAAGATGTTTTCGCCGCTAATTAATTTAAACCCACCACATATTTTGTCATCTTCACCTATGCATTTTTCCCTGCTATCAAATCTAATGCGACGCATTGTGATTGATTTACAAATAGTATCGCCTATATATCATTTTCCAACTTTTCCATCATCTTACTTGCCCCATTTTCAGACAAACAACCTAAGAACAATACCGTCATCATCAAAATGTACTGTGTTCCTGAATTTTAGAGGAAAAGACACTCGTCATAACTTTGTTCATCCTCTGCACGAGGCTTTTTGTTTAGAAGGAATCGATGTCTTCAAAGATGACATTAATCTCAACAAGGGGGATTGGATTCGACAAGAGCTCTTTCATGTCATTGAAACATCTTGGATAGCCATCCCAATCCTGTCCAAAGATTATGCTACCTCTGCATGGTGTTTGGATGAACTTGTGCATATCATGAAATGTAACAAAAAAACTAACCTAATTGTTTTTCCTGTATTTTATGATATATGTCCATCTGATGTTAGGCATTTGAGGGGTAGCTTTGCACGAGCTTTTGCTATGCATGAAATAGAGCACAAGGATTGCCCCAAGAAGGTGAGGAGGTGGAAACAAGCCGTGAGTGAGGTTGCCGAGATATCCGGTTTTGACCTACTTAATGAGGTCTATAAAGGGTACGTAATAAATAATGCTAAACTTCTATAACCCCAATTTTTTGAAGAAAAAAATATGTTATTAATACCTAAAGTATTCCCAAATAGTATACATCCTAAACCAGCTTGGTTGGTGTAAGTGGCCGTACACTCCCGTTCCTTAAGAGAGGTCGGCAGTTTGAATCCCCTCTCGTATGGAAAAGTCAATCTGGCAAGAACTTTGCCCTTTACTTGGGTCGTCCAGGTACGAACGATGATTAATCTGAGAATGATACGGGTTTAAAGGTGTCTCCTACAATTAAGGACTGACCAAAAAGTACTATACACCCTAAGTTTTCAAAGAATTTGCAGTATTAGTCCCAAAAACAGCAACCCTAAATTCCCTTAAGATTTTATTTAGTACATATGTATTTTAGTAACTTTCATATATTTTTTTTAATAATAACCGTACCTTCTCTAGTCTTGGTATTTCACTTTCAAAAGAAAGAACTTGATTTTCACATGTTCGTGTAGTGAAAATCAAGGACGATGTTTTGCAAATGAAATACATACTAAAATTGAAGAATTATAAAGAAGAATTTCCGCTTTTTGAGAAGTTAGGGACTATATATTCTAATGACAAAAAATTATGAACTAAACCAACTAGTAGGTAATAATTGAGTATTCAAAAAAAAAAGTAGGTAATAATTGAAATACTAAACATACAATTTCTCCCCCCTTTTAAATGCTATATATATATATATATATATATATATATATATATATATATATAGAGAGAGAGAGAGAGAGAGAGAGAGAGAGTCCTTCCCATGACTCAGTGAATAGATCTAGTCAATTAAAATTACAGGATTAATGGTCAGATATGGCCCATTATCAAATATCAACGTGCAGCACAGTTGCACAGTTAGTCAGTGTGGACAGATATGGTCAATTAAAACTAGAGATTAATGATCATATGTGGCCCATTATCAACTGTGCAGCACAGTCTGCACAGTTGCACAGTTAATAAATGACCATTGATCTCTAACTTTTAATAGACGAGATCTGTTCACACAGACTCATGGAGAGGGGTGAACTCACTTGAACAATGACATATATGTGTTTATATATATATATATATATATATATATAGAGAGAGAGAGAGAGAGTGTTAGGTTCAGGTGCGGCGAGGTCCTCCCGTGCGACGGTGCGGCGTCACCAACAGTTGAGCGATTATACACCATCAACGTTATGAAATGCACGACAAAAACACACACAAATTAGGTATTTATCACAAAAAAACACACAATTAGGTGTGATTAAAAAACATCATACAGTGTTCGAAAAATATACCACGGGGGTGGTGAGTTATATGGTGTATTTTTTTGGGTTTGCTGTGTATTTTTTGGTGTTTTTTTTTTTTGCATTTCATTGTGGTATGTTTCCCTTACAGTATTGGTATTTATGTATGTATGTATATTCTATAAATCTTATTTACATATTATTTGAAACAATTATACAGGGATCAACCAAAATGCATCCATGATATAACTGAAGAAGTCCAAAAAAAATTAGATGCTATAAGAAAGGAAGAGCATAAGAGTATTGCCTTAGTAGAATATCATTTGCCAAGATTGAACTCACTATTGAGAATGGAATCACCGGCAACAACTGAAGATGTTCTCTTCCTGGGAATTTGGGAAACAAATAATAACACTACCGTATTGATGAAGAAAATTTCTAACATGTTCTTCGACCAGTTTGAGAGCGTGTGTTTGATACAGTGAATAATTTGAGAAAACGAGGATTGGTGTCACTTCAAAAGAAGTTGCTAAAGAAAGTTGATATGAAACAGAACTTGAATGTTATGAACGTGATTCAAGGAATGGGTATGATAAAACAAAGGCTTTGTTTGAAGAAGGTTCTTGTTATCCTTGAAGGTATTGATACTTTACACCAGTTACGTGCATTGGTTGGATCACGTAATTGGTTTGGTTCTGGTAGTAGAATAATCATCACTACAAGTGATAAATCAGTGCTAATTGAGCATGGAATGGACATAGTATATGAGCCTACAATGGCGTGGGAATAGATGTTTTATTATTTTACTTATGTTGGATAACTAATAGTTTGTAATTAATTTGCACGTTGTAGAGATTATATGCCATTAGTAACTAATAATTCTAAGTTTTTGCTTTTCCGTCCTTGTGAGAGTTGCTTATTGGCCTTATCAGTTTGAAGAACCGATTAGCTATGAATAATCTAGATTGGTTTACCTCATAGTGGATAAGAAGTCTTACTTAAGACTTGCTTTCAACAGTGATACCTGGTACGAACATTGGAGGTTTCAGTTTGTGCTGAGTTTCTTGTCTGTAGAAGTATACAACCAGGGCCGTTCCAATCAAAATTGGGGTCGTGTGTAAAATTTTAATTTGAGCCCCCTTTTTTCAAGTCATTTTTATATATAAATGATAGTTGTTCAAAAAGTTGTGTCAAAAATTCAAAATATGAATATTGTATAAAATAATACATCTAAAATTTCATTTAAAAAGTGACATGCGTCGTGCACACTTATAGCAAAATCATTTAGTTTATCACTGTGACCAATGTCATCTAAACCACTATCAACATTCTTATTATTTTCATTATCATAGTAATACCTATCAGGGTTGTGCACATTATCATTTAAATTCTTTTCAATCTCATAATAATCTTGATCTTCTATATGAAGATTAGCATCTAACAATTTTTTCTTGACAACATTTTTTTCCTCATCTATTTAAGTTTTTTTTTTTTTTTAATGAATTTTTCAAGAGCTCCCTTTTGAGATTGAGTTAATTACTCAATTTTTCTTTTCTTTTTACGCTTCTCAAACCCAGATGAATGTTTTCTAGAAGACATAAAATCCTAAGGAAAAAATAACAATTTATTTTAAAACAATATGAATAAATAATTAATCAAGAAACGAATTCTTGAATATATTATTCTGAAATCAGAATTATTAAGTCATGTAAATAAAACAATAAACAAGAATTGTGAAACAATACGTAATTTTAATTACCTGTCAAGAGAATTGAAGAACTTGAAAGTTTGTATGATAAAAAAAAATTGAAGAATCAATAGCACACGAATTGAATCTGTCGCCTTTATGTGCTGCTGCAAATTAGTAAAGAATACAATTGAAAATTCACATTGTGAATTACCTAATCGAGTTCAAATACATAAACACTCAAATTAAATACTCAAATTCAATATTAGAATGTTTGAATTAGTTCAAATACCTAGACTTCTCAAATAACAGCTTCAAATATCAAATACCTAGGCACTTAGGAGTTAGGCAGTAGGCAATTTCTTGTAAACTGTACTCAATGTCTCTGTAGTCTGTAGGCAAATACCTATATTCTTAGGCTGACCTTATCCCTGCAAACATCTCCCACTCTCAAAAATGGGTCTCACTTCCACATCATCGCATTTACAAATCATCTACTATTCACACTACATCCCTGCAAATTCAATCAACCTTCAAAAGTGGACCCCAATTTCACATCACTTTAAAAAATTAATATTTTTTTCTTAATAAATATTATTTTGTCTTCAACATTATTTATTTATATCAATATATAAATTATATTTAAATATTAAATATAACAAATGTGAAAATAACTAATTATGTATGTATTAATGGAAAAACTCAATGTATGTATTAATGACTTAATTTACGTATAGTAATGAATGTATGTATATCAATCTTACAAAAAAATGTATGTATATCAACATAAATTTTAGACACGTAATTTTAATGAATTTATTTTAAAAAATAATTTAAGAAATTATTTGTATTATGTATGGTATATAACCGAATGCATATTATACCACGACTTGAATTGTAAAACTAAACCTCAAATGAACCTTACAAATTCAAAGTAATTGAAATCATAAAAATTAACCCAAGTACAAATTACAACTACGACAACACTGAAATGAAACAAATTACAACTACGAAAGCACTCAAAGCATTACAAATTAAGACATTACAACTAACGGATTACATTGAAAGCAAATACATTTATTCATTAATTTTCTTCTCCACCAAACCGATTCCATATCTCCTCAATCAAGTCTTCTCGTAGTTGATGGTTTGTTGGCCTATTGCGAATCATTGCATGATTTCGAATATAATCCTCATTTCGAATGAAGTGGCTAGGACTATTTTCAGGTACAGATACATTACAATTCACACTTTCATTCGAATAATTATAATCAATAGCATATGAATCTCGTTCATCCTCTACAATCATATTGTGAATGATTATACATGCTCTCATAATTTGTCCCAGTGTTTCTTTGGAGCCCATGCGTGCTGGGTTAGAAATGATAGCAAATCGTGCTTTGAGCACTCCAAATGCTCTTTCTATATCTTTTCTTGCAGCTTTTTGTTTCTTTGCAAATAATTTATGTTTTGCACTTTGAGGTAAGGGGATTGACTTCACAAAGGTTGCCCAACTTGGATATATTCCATCTGCTAAGCAATAACCCAAATTGTAATGGTTACCATTAACAACAAAATTTACCTGAGGTGCTTTACCTTCCAAGACCTCGTGGAAGATGGGAGATCGGTCCAACACATTGATATCATTTAATGTACTTGCAAGACCAAAGAAAGAATGCCATATCCACAAATCTGCAGAAGCAACAGCTTCAAGTGTAATGGTTGGATAGCCGTGATCTCCTCTAACATATTGTCCATGCCAGGCAGTTGGACAATTTCTCCATTCCTAGTGCATGCAATCAATACTCCCTAGCATACCTGGGAAGCCCCTTTGTTCTCCAATTTGCATTAGCCTTTGTACGTCTACAACATTTGGCATTCTCAAGTACTCTTCCCCAAACACATCATTTATACTTTGAACAAATCTCTTCATACACTTCATTATAGTGGTCTCACCCAGTCGTATATTCTCATCAATGGAATCTGCAGAACTCCCATACGCTAACATACGCATTGCTGCAGTACATTTCTGTAGTTGGCAAAAACCTCTGTCTACCGGTAGAATCTATAGAACTTTGGAAATATTGGTCATAATTTTTAACACCTTCAACTATGCGAAGAAATAAATTTCTTCGCATTCGAAACCTTTGCCGAAATAAATCGTCGGTGTACGTTGGACTATTAGAGAAATAGTCAATATATAAACGTTGATCTGCTTCTTCACGGTTTCTCTCAATGACCCGTCTTGGCCTTCTTCTACGCCGAGAGGATGCAGCCTCATTTTCTATAGCTTCTCGTCGTAGGTTTATTAGGTTCGATAGAGTATCATCCATGAACCACTCAATGATATTTTGCTCGGAAAAAGGATTATCTGGGTCTTGGGATGAAGAAGATGAGTTAGAGAAGGGAGGATTTTCATAATTTTCAGTTGAAAATTCAGAATAAAATGAATTAGAATCACCCATTGAGTTCCACTCATCATCCATAGTATATGAAAGAAAGAGTAATGAGTGTGTAAGAAATTTTTGTATCATCCTACGTTTAAATAATGGATCATCATTTCTTGAAGTGGTAGAGAATATCATCTGAGTTGGAATATAATAATTATTAGTTGAAGAAAATTTGTGTATGGAATATCATCTGTGATTGTAAGAAGTTTGGGTATGGAATATAATCATACGTAGAAGGAAATTTGTGTATGGAATCTAATAATTAGGTGGACGAAATTTGTGTATGGAATATAATAATTAGTTTAAAAAAATTTGTGTATCATCCTACGTATAAATAATGGATCATCATTTTTTGAAGGAAATTTAGATAGAGAATATCATCATTTCTGTACGAAATTTATGTACAAATATCATCCGAGTTTGTAAGAAGTTTGGGTATGGAATATAATCATACGTAGAAGGAAATTTGTGTATGGAATCTAATAATTAGGTGGACGAAATTTCTGTATGGAATATAATACTTAGTTTTAAAAAATTTGTGTATCGTCCTACGTATAAATAATGGATCATCATTTTTTGAAGCAAATTTGGGTAGAGAATATCATCATTTCTATACGAAATTTGTGTACAAATATCATCTGAGTTTGTAAGAAGTTTGGGTATGGAATATAATCATACGTAGAAGGAAATTTACAAATGGAATCTAATAATTAGGTGGAGAAATTTTGTGTATGGAATCTAATAATTAGGTGGAGGAAATTTATGTATGGAATATATAATAATAAGTTGAAGAAAAGTTGTGTATCATCCCACGTATAAGTAATCCACCATTCTTGCATATTACCTCATCCATCATTTGCGTTCTTCCTTCCTTTGCCTTCTTCCTTTAGGAAATATTTTGAAACCTTCAAATGGATCCTCCACGCGATCCATTATTTAACTTCTCACTACTTTCACAGAATGACCCTAATGAAGCCAATCAAAACCCACAACCTCCAATCACTCAATTCCCCTTTCTTCCTGGAATGAGCAATGTGAATTATCAGCAATTACCTTTCTTGTTTCAAGGTGTTCCCCCAACCTATCATCCATCATATTCAAGTTTTACTCCAATGTCTACTCCCACTAGGGTTTCTCATACAACAAATATACCTTTGCGAGAATTTCCTGAGTACTTCACTCAAGAAATGCCAACACCTCAAGAAACACGACCACCAGGCATATTGAAAATTCGATGGACAAATAAGGATGACATGATGTTATGCAACGCATGGCTCAACATTAGTAAAGATGCTGCAGTTGGAAATGATCAAAGTGGTAATAGCTTTTGGAATCGCGTTGTAGAATTTTATAATCTGTACCGGAGTCAACCTGAGCAAGCCAAAAGAAATAAAATGGGATTGCAGAATCGTTGGGGGAGGCTAAGTCATTCAGTTTCAAATTCGCCGGCTATTATGAACAGATTTTGCATCGGAGGGAAAGTGGCTTAAATGAGGCTGATAAAAAAATATAGGGCCATGCAATTATATCACGAGATTGAGAAGGAAAATTTTATGTTTTTGCATGCTTGGGAAGTGCTAAGGAATGAAGAGAAATGGTGTAACCAAGCTGGGAGTGGCATTGATGTTGACTTAACCAGAGATGAACGTCCAAAGCGAACAAAAAATACGGAGTCAGGTAAATACACATCTTCATCATCAAATTCACAACCAAGTGAGACACCATGTGTGGGAGGGTCTAGCTCTCGTCCCATGGGAAGGGACGCTTCTAAGGCGAAAGGAAAAAGAATGCAATCAACAACACAGTCAACGACATCAAAAAGTTTGGGCGAGCAAGTCGAAACGCAAGTCAATGTGGAAATGGAAAAAAATAAACCTCATGAAACAATATATGAAGCGACAAGAAGAAAGGCTGCAACAACAACAACAAACTGAGAAAAATAGACTTCTCATTCAGCTTATGCAACTAGACACATCAAGTATGAATGAAACGCAAAAACAATTGTACGATAAGAAAATGAAGAAGTTTATAAATGAGTAAGTATGGTGGAATTAATTTGTATGCATCGTATTTCTAAATCAATGAAATGTTATGTATTCTTTTAATATATTATTTTATTAAAAAAAATATTACATATTAAATATAAAAAAAAAATTAATATGGCAAAATACAAAACAAACTAAACAAATAAAATAAAAGAAGTGATACAAAATTATATAAACTAAATAAAACAAACAAAAAAAAAACAAATAAAAAAAAAAAAGAGTATTGCGGCAGCTTTTTGTACGGTTGCAAATTTGCAAGCAGTGCAAACTTGCAATCCTAATCACCATTTAAAAAAAAAAAAAGCATACATGGCAAGCTCCATGTCATCTTGCAAAGGTTGGGATTGCAGGGGTAATCCCAGCCTTATTACCGTATTTGTCGTAACAGTCTTGACAATCGAACTTCGAAGTCTTTTTACGCTGAATCGCTATGCCTTATATATATACTATAATTTTTTTTTTTAAAATTAAGGGGCCCCCAAATTTTGGGG